CACACACCCACACCCACACCCACACCCACACCCACACCCACACCCACACCCACACCCACACCCACACCCACACCCACACCCACACCCACACCCACACCCACACCCACACCCACACCCACACCCACACGCACACGCACACGCACACGCACACGCACACGCACACGCACACGCACACGCACACCCACACGCACACGCACACGCACACGCACACGCACACGCACACGCGCACGCGCACGCGCACGCGCACGCACGCACACGCACGTACGCACGCACGCACACACACACACACACACACGTACGCGCACACACACGTACGCACACACACGTACGCACGCACACGTACGCACGCACACGTACGCACACACACGTACACACACACACACGTACACACACACACACAAGCACGCGCACACACGCACACACAGACACGTATGCTCACGCACTCCCTCCCCTCTGCGGGTGTCAGGTGGGTTTGTTTGGGTTTGGCTTTGTTGAATCCTCCCTTCTCCCTGTGAGTGCGGGTGTGTTGGAGTCCCTGCTCTCGCGGCGATATCAAGATCTACAAAACGACGACAGCCACGAGGGTCGCCACACACGTTGGCACGTTCGAGATGCCGTTGTCCTCGTCATCCTCATCATTAACATGTGACTGTTGGCATGTTTCATACATTCTTGGCAAGGCCGCGGTCTAACAACAAGCAACTGTCACGAGGGTTCCGGCTCTAAGCCCGTCCATCCCTGTGACTGTTGGAATTTTCGATACATCATGGTGAGGTCCGCGTGCAGACACGACACCTTTCCGCGCGTGCCATGGGGAGGGACAGGGGCCCAGATGCCTGACGATCTATTATTACAGTTTCGGGGGTTCTAGGAATACATATAACTTTTCACACGCACACATATCAGTACGCAAGTAGGCAAGGAAGTAAGTAAGCAAGTACGTAAGTAAATAAGTATGTATGTATGTATGTATGTACGCTTGTATGAACAGTAGAAATGCATGCATGCATGGCATGCACATGTGTATGCAAACGCATACGCATCTATTGGGCACTTGTTGCCCCCATCTAAACGTAAACATCAGTAGACCTCTCTGCAATCTGCTACCGCATCTTCCACATCACATGCTGCGTCGCCGTGTGTGCTCCTGGCATCTCCTGGCCACAGGACGCAGGAAAGTTTCGCTCTGCGCCCAAGGATGTCAGGCCGGCCAGGGCTCTAGCTGAACCACCTGGTAATGGTGACAGTTGATGCTAGTGACTGCTAGTGCTGTCCGAATTTGCAGGAACATCACGGATGCCTTGACGCGACAGCAGTACATCATCGAGCAACAGCCCCTTGGCTGCTATGGCTTTGTCTGCAGCGTGAAGAATTGGCACCGGAGTACACAGGGGCCTGACTGCATGATTAGAGGCAACAGCGGCTGGTGGACCTGCAGCTACAGCTTCGGTTTCAGCAGCAGTTGATGGTTGCCGTGGGCCCAGCTTCGAGTGAGATCGCCGGCTCGTCTGGAAGAGCCTGGCCTTGCACCAAGTGTCCGCGGTTTTTTGGACCATGAGGCGACAGCATCCATAACATCCTCGCGGCTCGGCATTCTGACCTCTGGCGGTTACGTGACCGGTAACATGTTCTGGTTTCCTAAATTTAGTGTAATGCTCAGTTTACTTGTTGGATGGTGAACATCGGACCGTCCAAGCAGCATTGACGGTAGACTTCGCCTGTCAGCACGGTGTTCTACACCCTTCTACGCCTGTCCTGGCCTATGCTGTCGTGGCAGTAGTGGGACAGCAGACGGCTTGCTGTCTGCCTAGTGACCGCAGGCTCGTGATGGAGGCTTAGATTAGATGGTCTCGCTCGGCACCGGCTAGCTGCCTGATTGCACTCGGTCAATCACTTGATGCACTATGGCGCCCAAACATGATAGCTCTCGTTAACCGTTGGAGCCAGCTTGATGTCCAGCAGTCTAGCACAGTTGAGGACGTTCCTCGGCCTTTGCGTCCACTTCTCCGGAGCTGTAAAACAAAAATTCCGGGATGCAGCTGATTCCAAGTGTGCTGTAGTAGAAGCGCGTTTTCCAGAAGATGAAGTTATCAGATAAAGTAGGAACGGTTCGAATGGCTGCATCCCTTAAACTTCAATTGAGCTTCGCCAACCGTGCCTTGTGCCGCGACCTCAGCTGCTGGTAGAAGCTTCCGGCCAAGCGTGAGCCAATGCCATCTTGTTCCAGGCACCATGGCGGGAGCATTGATTTAAAGTGGGTCAAAGCCAAAGCGCACACTTCATGCAGCACAAGCTGCATTGAGCGCCATGGAAGCAAAGCAGAGCATTGAGAGCTTTTTTTTGGTCTATTCAACTCCGTGTGTTTTTCGCGCAAAAAGGTGGCCGGATCAGAGTGTCCGGCCTTTGGAGCTGCTGGCAACTTGGCCCTTAAGTGTGAATTGCCCCTCCCTTCTCCGCGCTTCTGCACTCTCCGCTGCTGCCCCCTTGTTGCAGGCAGAAAGATTCCAGCGGCTGAAACCTTAAAGATACCAGTGTCCGAAGCCTATGAGTTCCCCTCGGCACCGGGTCAAGCGGCGGAATGCCTAAGATACCTACGGGGTTTGTTAAAAAAAAGAGGAGCAGAAATCTGCGAAGACATTCGGCCAGAAAACCCTGTGCCAAGAGTTTTCGATGCGGAAGATATCTGGACTCAAGCTGGTGCAGGAGGCCGTCAGCAAGCGATGTAGGACACAGCGCAGAAGACTCGGGCCTGCAGCAGCTGGAATTCGGGTTTGCTCGTTTGAACTCTGGCCAACATGGATGCATCCAGACTTTAACGTGAGGTCGTTTAATTTCTTTGGCCGGAGCCTCTCAGTTTCTCATGGCTGCTGGCAGTGAGTGCAGGTCATATCCGCACCTGCTATACCACTGCTGGAAATGTTGAGATTGCTTGCCGCACACCAACACTGTGCGTGTTCAAGAATTCAGAACACATATCCCACTTGCAGTGAGGCCTGCCCCGAAAACGGATTTATCTCATGGAACATGAGCCACATGCAGCATTGGCACACCAGCATGTTAGCCAGACGAAGTTGTGCAGCCTTAGCCTAGGAAAGCACAAGAACTCTCGAGGCACACTGGAAGGATCTGAAATGGGAGCATTCTGTCAGCACATCTCCGGCTAAGCCAGACTCCATCAGGAGCCTAAATTTGCAGGAGCTTCCGGTTTTGGGGCAAAGGCTGAGCTCAGGCAGTGCGGGTGTCAAAGTAGATGCGAGTACAAAGTCGATTGTTACAGCAGCGCGCGGTTCCAGATCTGTTCTGGTTGCAGGGCTGAGCCTCTCGAGTTGAAGCTTGTCGCACGACTGCTCTTCAAGTCCTGTCCTGTTCGGCAGAGTTCTTTTGTTACCCTTCTTGTCGCGGCGAGCTTTTGCTCAGACAGGCCCAGGTCCCATTCGCCAAAGTTATGCGCACCGGTGTAGCAGAATGAGGTGTAAACACACAGTTGCAGACATCAGTGGAAAAGCTGCAGCACGCCTGCAGTTCGAAGACCCCGAGCAGTGCGTTTCCCGTATCCGTGTCCCGGGTCTGATGTGTTTCGTCCCTCGAGGATCAACCGGCTTGAGAACGATCTCTCCCTCAAGCAGGGCGCAGGGACGGTAGAGGAGCCGAGTGCAGGTTTTCGCGCTTGGCTCTAAAGGGGAGTTTCCTGTTGACGCAAGCTTGCAGAACTGCGCCTTGTGCACGTCTTGTGATTTGCCACGGCCGAAAGAGAGGAGCTGCAGAAGGACTTGCAGCAAGCCGTGACTGCAGGCGTTGGCCTATCAGTATTGCAGAGATGCCCGTGGGAAGATGTCTGTTTCCTGTAGGTGACAAGCCTAAAGTCGGCGAGATCCTGGAGGCACTACTAGGAATGTTCAAGGACCAGCAAATGCCGTTAATCCGTAGATGCCTGAACTTGACTGCCTCATGCTCTGCCTAGACATCCTGAATCGGGGCAAGAGCGCGTTTGGTAAGCGGGCCCCCTGCAGGAGAGCAAGGTGACCTATGATGCTGTCAAGACCTGCAAAGTTGGAAAAGACGTCGTGCGCTGAGTTGGGCAACCCACCCTGTGCCGAGAACTCCATAGAAGTGTCAACAAACATGGTGGGACAGCGTGGAGCGGCAGGTGGGCAATGCAATGAAGATGGGAGATCCTGACATTGCCGCCCTTGGTCGAAAGGCCGCGGCTTGAGACGAGACCGCTGCCAGTATCAAACATGTTCGCAGGCTGTCGGCGAGATCCAGGCAGTGGCATGGCTTTTTGCCGAGAAAACCACGCTCCCGTAATTACACACGCACTATGCCTGCACATCACCAAAAGTTGATGTGCACCATGCTCGGGGAGGGAAAGTCAGAACATGTTACAACGTTGAGGCCAGTTGTAGGTAATTACTTCCTGTCACTGAACACATCGGAACAATTTCAACCCACTCAAAACTTAGGTCTTTTTCATGTGCGACTGTACCTTATCATGTGCAAAGAGTAATTGGCACATGTTGTGTGACGAAACCCTCCTTCACCTGAACTGCTCAGTTCCAGGTTCAGCTTGAGGAAGCGGCCACATCTTCACTGTGAGAGTCGGAAAACTTTGGGCAAACAAGTTCAACTGTCTCAGTGTTTGTGTTTTGTTTGTGCAGGAATGCATGCATGGGAGGGTTAATGTGTGTGTATATATATATATATACACACATGTATGTGTGTGTGTGTGCGCTTTGCTGACGCAGCCTTTTTCGAGAGTGCATATTTGTGCCAGGCTCTTGCGCAAAGGGCAGCTTTGGGGATCTGAGTTGTGAGCTGATCAGTTGCCAACTGGATCCAGGTCATGTGCAGAATTCGTGCGCACAGCCTGTGCGAGACGACAGCATGGCAAAGACATGTCAAACGAAGCGCGTGCTCAGCTTCTCGGAGTTTCTGCATCGGCGCATGCTGTCACTCCAGTGCTTGGCCGGCAGAGTTTCACCCCTCGCACACGCCTAGCGAAACCAAGCCAACCAAAGAGAAGTACATGCGAAGCGAGCGTGGGAGGGGCAGTAGAGCATCGTTTTGGCTGTTGGACAGCATACCACACCGTTACATGACGGTGCTTGTCATGCCGCAAGTAGGCAATGCATCGAGACGGTTCTTTCCCACTCTGACGCCTCCAGCACAGACTCGGAGAAGGCGCCAGCTCTGCAAGGCCTCTTCTGGCATCAAAAACCTCTACCCGCGCCTGGCCTCGCTCGCCGCGCCCGAAAAAGCGTGCCCTGCTCTCTCGTGGCCCTCTCGAGACTTTCCGTGAGAGCTTCGATCGCAGCTCGGAGAGTCTTTCAGGGAGCCTGGCATATCCGCCCGCCGCACCTCGAACTTCGGAGCTCGCGCCTTTCTCAGCTGGGTCGCGTCTTGCCATGGCACAACATGCTCGCCACGTGGGCACACAAGGCTAGGCTCTTCTCAGTCCCTCATAGCTTTACATGCGCTATAAGAGCAGATGTGCGATGATTTGTTGTTGGAGGTAGTGGCGTCTCTGTTCGAACTTCTCGAGATTCAGGGCGATCTGCTGGGAGTCGGTACGTTCCGAAGGCAGCCCGGCAGCAGCACCTGCTTGCATCTGGATATGGCGATGTCTAGCCTGCAGCCATGTCAGATCTGCGACGTGTGGCACAAGCCAAGGCCAAGAGTAGTCCTTCTCAAGCACTCCACAGGGTGCGAAGTGCCGCACGCAAGGATGCCACTACACAGACACAACTGTCGCTTTCGCTGCTCGGTCTCGTCTTGGCACTTGATACGGCAGATGCACCTGCGCTACGCTCAAAGCGAGGTTGACTCCTGTGGCCATGGAGAAGACTCACCTAGAGCCAGCAGAGCTTCAAGGGGTGCAAGGCCCTCCAGGCAACACCGGGCCTTTCCAGTCGCTCTCGACTGGCTTCATCTATGCTAGCAGCGCCTTTTGTGACTCAGCTTCTTACACATGCATGTCGGCGACAGGTCCATCAGACACTCCCAGGGCAAGTCGGATCACGAAAGATTCATGGGGTCTGGCATCACTGGATCCAAGCACTTGGCCGGTGTTCAAGGCCCGGGCTGGTGGGACGTTTTCGTTTTGGTTGTGGTTGTGGCTGCTGTGGTCGTGATGATGGTGGTTGTCGTTGTCGTCGTCACTGTCGTCATCGTTGCCGTTGCTCTCATGTCTTCCTTCGCCTTGATGCCTTGATGTTTTACAAAACATGTCTCCGCTACAAGCAGTCCAAGACACACGGAGGCACACAACGGAATTCGGCAACCAAGTTGGAGGAATCAGAGGTCCCCAAAGTCGACAGCACTTCCGGAGCGTGATTGTTAGCTGTGCTTCATATCGGCGTCAGCTGCAGTCAACAGCTTCTGGCGACTTGTGCTTCGCATATTCCTGTTTACATCGCTGGCCCAAGTTTAGTGGAGCTTTGAAGTGCGAGAGCGGGAGCCAAAACGCCACCCGACACCCTAGAGTAGACTAGGGTCGCCTACTCTTCAAGAATGTTTGTTGTTGCTGGCGCTTGCTGTTGCTGCTCTTGCTGGGTTCTGCTCGATCTGACAGTTTAAGTTGGCAGTAATCGATGTGGCAGGTGCCGTTTTGGTGGTTCTGGTGATGGAAGTGATCAGTCTTTTTGTCTTCAGCGTGAGCGTGTGTGTGTGCGCGCGCATTGACTGGCAAACCTTTGCACAGAGATGAGACCAGGACCAAGAAACGGATAATGCAGGGGCATCAGGGCATGTTAAGGCCAACTGGGGCACACAACGTTTTGGTCTGCTGTCCCAACTCAGCTGAGGATGGCTTTGGCTCCTGCAACAGCCTGACCATTGCGCCCGTACCTGAAGGTGCATCGATTCTGCCAGCGGTTGCAGCTTGGTTGGGTAAGTGCAGCTGTAAGCTTTGCCAGGCGACCCTGTATCAGAGGGACAGCCGATGGAGTCTCTTGACGAAGCTCTTGCCACAGCCCGTCACGAGAACGAGTCTTTGCGCCAACTCTGCTGCCTGGATGCCCTGTAATTCATTGGAAATCATTGCTTGGGCCGCCACTTTAGGAGTCCTTGAAACTGATCGGGTGAGGAATGAGTGTCCTCATGAGGCACAGGCTGGTGAAAGACTGAGAGTTGCGAGGATTTTCAGATCCACGCGTTGAGCGTTGATTCAGAGCTTCGCTCTGACTGAGAGATTTTTGGTCGCTGAAAATGAAGGCTACGATTTGGTAAGCTTGGCGCAGGAGAAGGACTTCCCTGAGGCCGGCCGTTTCCTTTCGACTTCTGCGCGAGAGATCTTGGAAGTGTTTGGGAATGCATATGGAGGTGCCGATTAGCCATGAGGTGCTGCTTGCGGAGGCGCGGAAGAGCTTGCTGGCTGTTAGCCAGCAAATGCTCCAAGATCCTTGGCAAGGCAAGGAGAATCCTATAATGCTCTCATGTGTCGATATTCAGGCTCCATGAACGAGCCTTCGGAGAGAGCATACCTAAACGCCAGTAAGCCAAGTCGTGAAAGGAGGTCGCTCCTGATCATTGTTTGATCTCACAAAGGAATAGGGACGATAAGGCATGTTGCCCGGTGCTGCAGACCTTTCCACAAACAACACAGATAGTGAAGGGATGCCTTTGCTTTCCCAAAAAACAAGGCTGCCACAGAGCACGATGCCACGCCTGCGGGGGGGAATGCGCAGTTATCTCCATGCAGCGTGGCTTGCAAGTCTCGAACAGTAAGCAGTTCTTGGAGAAGCCATGCCAATTCCTTGAAAGCACTCGAGGTGATGCGCCAGCGCCCGCAAAACCCAAGTCCAGCTCGAGGCAGAAGCTGCGGCGCATCGTCTGAGGACTCGGAAGCCGAAGCCGAGCTGAGGTGGATGCCTTTGTCTTCACCCTCTGAGCCTGCTCGCAACATGAACGCCAGCAGCCCAGCGGCGATGCCCATGCTCCCGCTGCTGGCTGCAGCGCAGAAAGATATCTGTGGTAGCAGCCTTGCTGGAGCGCACGAAGTCCCTGTCGTGCCTCAGGATACTTGCATGTCGGCGAGTACAGCATGTACGCCCACAGAGGTGAGGACCGTGTGAGAGCAGCATGCATGGAATGATCTCAGCCTCAGACCTGCCAAAGCATCAAGACCGTGACCAGCAGCCCGGTCTCGAGAGTTGGTGCCCAAGCGACAAAGCCGGGAGGAACGCCGTCAGAGTTAGGCCCTTAGGCCGTTCTCCAAAGGTCGTAAGCTTGGATGGTCGGGCTCAGAGCCCCGTGGCGACATCTCCGGCTCGGCCCTTGAAGCCTTGCCCAGCGAAGTGGAGTGCCATTATGTGCCATCTCACGCCAAGACAGCCTGGTCTCCATCCTGTCCTGTGTCTCCGATGTGGAGCCCTGCCGTGCGGACGCGGGTGCTCGTGCCCGCACTTGCGGATATGTGCTTCGTGCTTGTGCTCATGAGTGCTTAGTACATCAAAGGTCACACGATTTGCTTCTGATGGAACCTGCAGCCCGGTTCTGGCTACCCGAGTGCGGGTCTCAGTGCCTCTTGCAGTTCCCGAGCCTGTCTCCACTTACTGCAGGCCACGATGCCTGTGATGCCGATTCCGGGCATCGCCTTGTCGCCGTCATGTCCGGCCGCCGACTCGGAATTGTGGTTCCTCTAGTTGCTGACGTGTTGGACATCGATCAGGAAAGCTAGCCATTTGGAGTTCGCGAGAGTTGTAGTTTACCAACTATTTTAGTAAGTGTGGCAGCAAGGCACCAGACCAGGTTAACAGTAGTCACACTGGTATGCCTCGACTGCAATAAGCACATGGCTGGCAGTGTGCCCTTGGCCCACTAGGAGGCAGAAAGCTGCTTGGCATGCGCCGGCCCAAAAATGCCAAGTGAAAGAACATCTAGTGCAATAGATTCGCTTTACTTTTTTGCCCTAGCTTCGGCGGCCCCTTCTCAAGTGGATTCTGGGAGCTCATCCTGGAGTTGCTTGAGGTTTACTCTACTGCTCGGCTGGGAAGGTCTCGATCTGTCAGCGTCGGAAACCTAGAGGGTGAGATGCACCAGGCTTCCTGCTACTGCATTTTTTCTCCATTTAACTGTTGGTGTTCAGAAGGGTCGCTGAGGTCACCAGGCGGCACTACAAGCAGTGTTGGGCTGCAGCCTTAGTCGCGGAGGAAAACGAGAGCATCGAGCGTCAGCGTGCACTGCTCCTTTCACTTCCACCGGCAAGAAAGCTCAGTCCTTCGATTCCCGTCGAGTCGTAGCTTCCCAGGTCCTCCAGCGCGAGGAGCGAATCATTCTGTGAGCTGGAAGATTGAGCTGTCACGCCGATCTACCAAGTGGATGGCCGTTCAATATTTGCGGAACTTGGGCTTACCGTGAGCCTCAAGTAGAAGCCAGCTGCATGCATGAGCATCTTTGCAGGACAATCCTGCCATTGCAGGAATTAGGAGACTCCCGGAGACTTACAGAGACGAAGATCGTGATGCACCCTAGGCCAAAATTAGGTAGCTGACCCAGTTTCACTAGCCTTAACCAACCAACGTCTCAGGATTCTCCTTGGCATGACACTACATGACAGTAGATACTGCTCCACTATAGCTCTAATTAATTCAGCAGCGCAGAAGTGCGCGACGCATTGCATCGTTGATCTGTTTCCATGTTTCCTTCACATGCCTCTGGCAGGCCAGCAGCAGACCAGGTCACAGACGGCAAGGATGCAGTAATAGCCCAGGTTGGCAGACTTTGGTGCAGCAGTTGCTCCTACTTGTTTCTAAGTAGCACACGCTTCGCTTGCTGGCCAGTTGCTGCTTGCAAGCTGGCATGAGCTTTGGCAGCTGTGGCTGATGTGGGAAAGCTTTGCTGTGTGCTCTCCACAACTCGTCAGCAGTCGACTGATCGTCGAGAAGAGGGCGGTGAAGCAGACCTCACGATGTCATGTGCACCTAAAGCCGTTTGTTCGTAGCTATGGGATGAGAGGAGGAGGCCGCTACCCAGGCGGGGCGCAGCAGGAGGCCAAGCACTGGCTTCCAGCCGGAGCCTGTGTTGCAGGTGGCACGAGGTCCGGATACTATGTACAGTGGCCCTCTGGGGGCGAAGCTCAGACCGCAGCAAGTGCAAGCTTCCATGGTTTCCGTTGAGGATTAGAGGATGCCATGAGTTGAATGAGGCGGCTGCCTACAATGCAGCGGTTTGCAGACAGCTTGGCACTGAAGCTACGAGAGGAGGCCAGGAGACCTGAATATTGAACGGCTGCCTTTCGTCCCGTTCGTCGCTGCCGCAGGCCGCTCCACCTGCGCCAGCGGCGCAGGTCGCGGAGCGGAGAGCCGACGAGCGTTCGTCGGTGGGGTGCTCCCGTGCCGTCACCGCCCTGGGAGCCGTGCTTTCCAAAGCCTCAGGTGGCTCCTTGGGGGCAGTTCCGCGATGTCATCAGAGAGGAGATGTGCACTGGGCTCGTTATGGTTGCTTGATGCCAGAGGTGGTTTGCACTTCTTTGTTTGAAGTTTGGGCCAGGTCTGCTGCCTTCTCTGCGATGCAAGACACTGCCGCCACATCCCCGGTTTTGGAGGAAGCCCCTGTATTGGTGGCGAAAGGGCTGCATCGCTGAATGCAGCATCAGGCTAGACCGATGCAGTTCATCATCAACAACAATGCTCAGGCTGGAAGCTGGACTAGAATAGTATATCAAGTCAACCTGGCTCCTTCGACATTGAAACTTCGCAGGCGAAGGTGGAGCAGCACACGGTGACTCCTCATCCTGCGCCACCAAGCCCGCCCCCACCCCCTCGAGAGCCGGCGACGTTCCTGGAGGCAACGGAATGACTCCTTTCCACTGGAGCTGCCAGCTGCCTTATGCGCTTGAACCAGGGTGTTTTCCAGTTCTTCGCGTCGCCTTGGACAGGTTCTTAGTTAATTCATTTTTGTGACACGCATCTTGTGCATGTCCAAACCGGGGTTCCAGTGGTGTCTGAGGAATCGTCTCTGCATCTTCAGTGCCGTGGGAATTGGGCAGCTCGGCTGGCAACTTTGATCGAAGTATTTGTCTCTCTTTTGGCCCACACAGGCGGAAACCACGAGGACTTGAAGTCCATACGATCTGCTCATCCAAACACTCGAGTTCTCGCGTGTTGTACTTCTTGGCAGCCCTGCCGCATTCGTGCACGGCCAGAGGCATCAGCACCAATGCCTGGATCGTTGAAGTGACAACTCGGCGAAGCATAGATGCGTAACAATGGCCTGCAATTAGCTCTTATTAGCCCTATCAGACCATACGAGGGAAGAGGCAGAAGCAGACACCGATCCAGCAGGAACGCCGGCAAGCAAAAGGCATGCGAGAAATTTGAAACGTGGTGTTGGGTGAATGCTGCGAGCCGCGCGTCAGGATGTTTGGTGAACTCCCAACTATCCGGGTGCAAGTCCCGTGCTGGCAGCCATGCCATGGACCCGTTTGTACATGTCAGGACGTGTCGCCGCCTTGCCTTAGCAATTGGCAGGAAGTCCAGGTTCATGGTTTGACAGCCGGGCAATCGCCTATCCACCTTCTATATGTCTCCAAAAGTGCGTCCTTAACCCAACACAACAGCATGGGGAACCTGTGTTATCCAATCGCACGAGAGTGTCTAGGCAGACATGCGGGCATCCATCCTGTCAGCTCAGCACATAGACTAGTCACTGCCACCGTTATTGAAATTGTCATGGTTTCAGCAATTCCAAGTCCGGTCGGCGGGCAGAATGCCGAGCAAAGCAGCGACACAAGTGGGTTTGGGGGTGACTGGTGGCCCTTCGGTACCTTGCCCAGACTATGTCAGCACAATCTGAGGTTGTACGTGCTACAAGGCTCCGGGCAGTCACTCATGTCTGCTGCGTGTCCGTCTTTGCGTGCTGCCGCGCCTCGACAGGCCACCTGGCCAGGCAGTGGCGCATAGCTGAGATGCGTTACACTCAGCTCTTCAGCTTGTGCCTTCACAGTCTAGGAGCTGGGTTCCCCGGAGACCAAGCAAGCATGCAGGCAGCACTTGATTGACGGGGCCCCGCTCATGTTCTGATGACTAGTCTTCCAACACCTGCCCATGCTGGTTCAAGCCATCCACGAGAGCTTTGTCACGTCAGAGAAGGAGGCCAGAAGTACCTTTCAGCTGCAGCGAGACTGACTGACCCAAGCGATTTGAAAGATGATATGTTCCTGCGACCGTACAACAGATGCATCAGAATTGTAATTGCTACTGCCATGCTCGACTGCAGGCTTCTCGGTGTCATGGCTTACCGTGTCGAAGTAGAATGTGGCTCCACTGGTATAGGGGATCAGCCAGAGGCCTAGAGTCTAGAGCACCACGATGCTTGCTTGCAGTTGCAGCAAGACGATCTCTCAGTGCTTAAGCAAAGACTGCACAGATGCGGGAGTAGAGAGACGGGCTGAGGCTCGCTGTTGTTGGGGGCAGCCCCGAACTTGGGGATTGGAACCCAAGCGTCTTGCCAGCAGAAGCGCCAGCCTGACGCAACGGCCGCACGCGTGTCACAAATGTCAGCAGTATTGACTGGAGCTTCTGTGGCGATTGCTCAAGCCGGCTGCTGCAGCCGACATGCAGCACACCTACGCCATTGCCGTTATGCTTTGGCAGCCAAGGCAAAGCAATCCGACTTGAAACATCAGCCGCCACTTTTCCAATCTGGGTCATGTGCTTAGATTGAAACCGGCTAGAAGTGGCATGGTGTGCAGCCAGCGCCTTTTACATTCTCTCAATGTGCAACGAAACAGGAATGGGAACGTGACTTGATGATTCTCAGGCTGCCCCGATACCGGCAGCTGGGAACTAAGCTGCCCCATGTGTATTGTGATGTTGGCTCGGTACTGTGGAGAGATTTCATACACTCCGCAAGTTAAGCCCTATCTTCTTACATGGAGAGGCTCTCCTTGGCTGCGAATTCAAGTTCATCATTCTACGATCTGATGGGCAGATCACTTGGGAGGCCTGGGCAAGAAGACAACTGTCCTGACAACAACGGGCTATGAATGATAATGAGAGCTGAAAATCCTCCGACATACGTACGCAGTTACGTAGGTGTGTGTGTGTGTATGTATTGTGTACTGTATGTATGCATGCAGGTAGGTAGGTAGGTAGGTAGGTAGTTACGTACGTATGTATGTATGTATGCATGCATGTATGTATGTATTCATGTATGTATGTATGTATGTATGTATGTATGTAGGTGCATGTGTGTGTGGATGTTTTCATGCATGTGGGTAGCTAGCTAAAGGTAGGTAGGTAGGTAGATAAGGAGGAAGGTAGGTAGGTAGGTAGGTAGGTAGGTAGGTAGGCCGGCAGGCAGGCAGGCAGGCAGGCAGGCAGGCAGGCAGGCAGGCAGGGAGCTCGGTAGGTAGGTAGGTTAGGCAGGTAGGTGGATATATTGTATTATGCTTGCATGTATGTGACGTATATCTGCATTTATCTATGTCTGCCGGTAGGTCTGGTATGGTCCGCTTCTTCAAGAGCAGGAGGGCGTAGATATTACAATCGCATTCATTCCTGGGAACCTCCAGTAACTACTCTACTGCAGCAGTGTTGCTATGCTCTGGAACATGCTGTGAGGAATTTTTTGGTGCAGACCATGGCATACAGAATGCACTGCGAGCTTGGTGCACTGTGAGAGACTCGATATTTTCTGCACATTCTCAGGAGCTGCGCAATCGCAGTTGGACCCAGAGGCCTTTGAATGTCCTAGCAGCAAGATGTCTTGGTTTGCATTTCGTTGGCAACAGTAGTACAGGGCGTAGGACCGAAAGATTCCATCACCAGCTGGCTTTTGGCCTTCGCAGCAGTGTCGTTCTGAGTTCAGGGTTGCTGCACGAGAGTTGTGATACAAGGGATCTGGACCGGTCAATAGATTATCATTAGCAAGCATAGGCTAACCCCACACC